ACCCCTCTACTTCATGATCGGCAGCTGTGACCAGCTCGACCTAAATAATAATCTGGAACGCGCAGTTTGCCCAGGCCCAGCATTCGCGGCACGCGTCTCACACGCCTGCAATCACCTATATGACGTCGCTCGGGCATCGGGCTGCTATCCGGACCTTTTCAATTTGCGCCCGCGTGGCGCGCCACCAGCGCAGATGCAATTTGCGCGTCGCGCGCCCCGCGCGCGATGCGTCGCAGGTTCGCAACATGCGCAAGCACTGAGCGACATCGAGCCCCGTCCAATCCCCTGGCGCATTGCCCGCCACAACGGGGCGCCCTGACGGCCCAGGGCGCCGCAGGGCTGGGCGGCGGCGGCGGTTCGTCGCCGCCAGAGAGGTCGTCGCGCACATGCGCTGGCGGCCCTGGGCCGTCGATGGGGCTCGATCTGGAGGAGGCCCGTCGACGTCATGACTCACCTGCGATCCAGGAACTCCTGCCACGGGATCTCGCGCACGCCGCGCGCGCTCCTCGCAGGGAAAGGGTCCGCGTTGGCCGGCGAGGCGCTCATGGACAACCCTGCATGGCACGTCGAGCCAGCGGCATTCCCCCGGCCACCTGGCGCGGTCAGGGCGAGCTCTCGCGACGGATCGCGCGGTCACCCTCGGCGCAAGCGCGGCGATGCAATGCCCGATGGACTAGCGCACTTCCCTGGGGCTTTGATGCGACGCGGGCCCAGGCCGCCGCGATTGCCGCTGCGGCCAGGACACGCTGGGCATCGCGCGCGCTGGCCGACTGTTTAGCAGCTGGCGTGGCGGCGGGAGCCTGCGTGCCCGATGCTCGCGTCGGGGCCCGGACGCTGTCGGTCGGGCTCGAAATTGTCCTGCCAGCGCTGGCGTGGCCACTGGTGCTGGCGCTGGAGGTGGCGGTGCGTCGGCCCTATCCAGGCTTTCAGATTCGTGGAGGACCTCTGGTCAGATTCGCGCTCCGGTGGCTGGGCAGAGCTCGGCAATCAGAGAGACCCTGAGCTCTCCGCGGCAGCTCCGAGCGCGACGACGCCTTGCACCGCGCTCTCAGCCATGCCCCAGGGCCAGAACTGCAGCACCTATTGTGTCAGCTGTGTCCCCAGGTCACGTCGTGGTCATAGTTTCCACTGTGCCTCAGATTCCTGGGAGGCGCGAGCAGATGCGGCAAGTTGGCGATGGCTGCAAACGGCTTCTTGGCCGGGAAGCCCCTTGGGCAATCTGGCCCCCACGCAACGTTGATCGACCGTGGCCGCATCCGCCTGGGGACGCGTGGATACCTGACTCCACGGCGGTACTGTGCTGAGCCACGTAGGGCTCGGTTGTTCGATAAAGTAGTTTCGCCCCTCACGTATTTGCGTCATCGCAACCTGTCCGCAGAATGAGATGCGGGGTGCATACTTCTCAGCGCGGCAGTTGAAACAAAAGGGCTGGCCAGCAGAGGTATTGACATTGTCGGACCGTGGGGCAACCAGGATCACAAACGGTCACCAAATCCAAATTATCGCTGGTGTCACAGTGTCGCCTGATGGCGATCTGCCAGGTTCGGGCTTCGCCGCCGCACAACTCACGTAGGTCTGCGCCAGGTCCCATGGCTCGGACCGCGGCCATGCTTGGAAGGTGAACACTGCGAACGCGGCTCGGCGACCAACAGTGGCCACTGCTGCGTATGACTCCGCCAGGTGTTTACCAACTGGGAGCTCACTGGCACGTTCGATGGTGGTGCCCCTGGACAGCCGAGCAGGCTGTTCCTCCATACCAAGCCTTGAGAGGTCGCCACCGATGTCGTCGAAGACGTCTTCCACTTTCTTCCGACGCTTGACAGGCACATGCCCCTGTTTCTCGCGTTGGTTTCGCCCGTCCTGCCTCATCGGTGGGAAGGGCAAAAGACGGGGATGTTTTGATGATGTGGAACGTGATCCTGCCTGTCCATTCGTGGGGCAGGACCTCGCGCGCTGCCTCTGTCTCCAGGCCGACGTGATGGTGACGAGGCTGCCTGGTTCATGCTGAGGATTGCTGTAGGTCGCTCTGCTTGCTGTCAGGGTGTAAAAATGTTATAGTGTTTGTCAAAGTGTTTTAGGATTATTACCAGGCAAACGGTCTTGCCTGGAGTCGAAAAAAATGTACGGAACAGCACGTGAGCACGAGCCACGGTGCTCTCGACGAAATTGGACATCAAATAATAATATGTCGTGTCGTTGCATATGTCCGTATTCGCCCTCACGCGTTGGCATTGGGATCTCGCCTGGATCACCGATGTCGGACATTGCATCGTGTTCTACCGTAGGCTTCTTTGCCTTACGCAGGCGAAGCTGCCGAAGCCTCCTCGCCAAGACGAGCAGCTGGAGCAGTGCAGGGTCCTAAAATGTTCGACTCCGCCTAAACACTAGACGTTACTCGAGCCAAACCGAAGTACGTGTCCTGACGCATGTTCGGGCGGGTGCTAATGGGGGGTGGCCCAAACTGGGGGTGAAAAACAGGGCCCTTACGGGTCCCTTTTGGGGCCCCTTTGGGAGCCAGCAGAAGCCCAGAAGGGGCCCCAAACTGCACCGTTGGGGCCCTTTTTCTTCACCCCCCCCTTACCACCCGCCCGACATGTGCAGTTGTAGAATAACCTCTGCCTTGATCCTCTTGGCCTCGCCTCTGTCCTGGGTGCGACATCCTCGGCTGCGGGACGGTTGGCGGTCCAGTGCCAGGAGGCCTGGTGCATCAAGCCCTGGGGAAAGGTGCACGACAAACTGGCCCCATGCTCAGTCGCTGTGACGATGTGGAACGCTGCCTTGGCGGGTGATTTGCTATGGGGTTCTGGTGGACGCCCCAGTCGGCAGAGACTGACTGTGGCTAGTCTCGTGCCCACTGCTGGGCTCGTGGACACTTCTGCCGTGTAGTTCAATTGTCCCGCCATGTCCATAACAGCACAAGCTATGTTGTGTGTCCTGCATGTGAGTAGTAACTGATGTGGTTGCTCACGGGCCCGACTGTACTGATTTCCTGGGTAGATGTGGCTAGGCGGCATCGTGATGCAAACCAACTGATATTCATATCGTGCGACTTCGCTGCGGGCGGAAAAGTATGGAATGCGAATGTTTGTTGGATGGAGTGTTCACATCTGCCATCCGTGCTGCTCAAGAGCTCGAGCACACGACGCTGCGCGGTTGGGACACAACGTTGGTTCCCCGGCAAGGAGAGCCAGGGCGCCTCTGGAGGGGGCCTCAGCTCATTGAGGGCCGAGGGATGACCGCTGCTCAGCCTCCTCGGGGAGGCGGCAGCTGCCGGTATCGCGTCCTCTATCTCCGTCTCCGTCTCGCCGGCGTGGGCGTGCAATCGCAAGCTGCGGTCGGGAACGCCGCCGGGTGTTTGCACGGCATTCTCCAAGTCGTCGCCGACCACTTCCAGGCGTACGGGAGCAGGAACCCCCATGGGGCCTGGGTACTGCAGATTCGTGTCGTGTCGACCCCGGCGTTGGTTCCCGACATCGCGCTGGATCGTTCAACCTTGAACGATCGGCCGTCTCCGCAACGTTCGATCGTTCAACATCGACCGATTCTGGGCCGCCGTCGGCGTTCAAAGTTGAACGTCGGCGGCGGGGTCGCCGCCGGTCGACACGACGCGAACCTACCGTACCCTGGAGACCCAGACAAACCCATCGCACCCCGCCCTGTGGTGCTCTGGACACCGCGGTGTCCGAGGGAGCCGTGCCATGCCCGCCAGGACGGAACGGTGCCAACAGAACGGGGGGCGGTCACCGGCAGCCAACAGCAGCCAACAGCAGCCATCGGCAGCTGACCGACCGAACAGAAAGCTGCCAAGCTCGCAAGGTTGCGCCCAGCAGTTGCCACATCATCAAGCCAACCCGACATCTGGAGGGAGAGGAGACTACAGTGGGGGCCCGACCACAAGAAACCTCCCACAAGAAACCCAACCCTGAGACCCTAGGACGCCCATCGAATTTTGGCGTGGGAACGTCACGCTTTCCATGGCAAAACCATCGAAACCCAAGAAACCCAGGGCACCCTGGAGGCAAGCAGGGTGTTTCTTGGCATGGGTCTCCACTGTAAAGTCAAACTGATGGTAAGGATGGGCGATCAGGATGCAGGCCCCCTGCAGAGGCCATGTCGAGGCTCTCCGAGCGGGGCTGGCCGTCGAAGGGGGTCAAGGACGGACCGAGGAGGCAGGGACGCAAGGGCACCCTTGGGAAGGCGATCCTTACCATCGGTTTTTCCAAATACGAGACCTATGCTGCATCACAGCAGCAATTCGACCCCTGACTTTCGTCCTGGGCTCGGTTTAGTGAAGTGATGAATTTCGTGGTCCTTACGTGGGAAAAAAAAACATCACTTCACTAATCTGGGGCCCCTGGGGCCTCCATGTGCCCTGGGGCCCAAAATTAGTGACGTGATGGTTTTCGGGCCTCGGACCAAAGTGGTAGTCAGATCGCGCAGCTGTGGTAAGGGGGGAGGTGCATGGGGCGACGAGCGAGGGGAAGGCCCGAGGGGCGAAGGGCCACCTCCTTTGCTCTTTCGGAGCGCTTGTGCCTGACGGGGTTCGAGAGGACCGGCGGCGACAGCGACAGAGAGGCCGCTGCGTTAGGAGGCAACTCCTGGGAGGTCCTCGTCGGAACAATGACAGGCGGCTAGGCCCGATTCGGGGGCCATGACACCAAGTGAAGCCGGATCAAGCCCAGGATGAAACCGAATTGAGCTGGATCGAGCGGGATTAGACAAGATGGAACCACAATGAACCGGCTATCGACCGCGAAAATACAGTAGGGGCGTTGACCTAAGGAACCCTAAAATAAGGAACGAGGCCCCTTTTTCCCATAAGTTCAACCTCGATTTCCGATGGAAAACCTCAGGAAAACCCGAGGCAAACTTTGAAACAATCAAGGAACACCGAACCCCTCCCCAACGAAAAGGGTTCCTTCTTCAAGACCCCTACTGTACCGGCGCCAATACATAACTGAACCTCCCAGGAGTTGCATCCGAGGCTGCGTGAGCAGCTCCTCCATGAGCCGCTGCAGCGGCTCGGGGCAGTCGGGCGGGACGGCCTCCAGATCTGGCCTCGCGCCAGGGGGGCGGAGGCAGGAGGAGGCCGCCGCCGCACCCGTCGCCCCGATTACCAAGGAGGGGGGCAGAGCGTCAAGAAGGGATGAGGAGGAGGAGGAGGAGGAGGCAGATCGTCAGGAATGGAGGAGGAGGAGGAGGAGGCAGAGCGTGAGGAATAAAGGAGGAGGAGGACAAGGAGGAGGAAGAGGAGGAGGAGAAGAAGAAGAAGAAGAAGGAGGCAGAGCGCCGAGAAGGGGTTAGGAGGAGGAGGAAGAGGAGGCGGAGGAGGAGGAGGCGGAGGACGGAGGAGGAGGAGGAGGCGGAGGAGGAGGAGGAGGAGGAGGAGGAGGAAAGGGAGGAGGAGGAGAAATCGCCGAGAATGAGGAGGAGGAGGAGGAGGAGGAGGAGGAGGAGGAGGAGGAGGAGGAGGAGGAGGAGGAGGAGGAGGGAGGAGAGGGAGGAGGAGGAGGAGGAGGAGGAGAGGAGGAGGAGGACGACGAAAAGGAGGCGGAAGAGGAGGAGGAAGAGAAAAAGGGGAAGGAGAGGAGGAGAAGGACGACGAGGAGGCAGGAGGAGGAGGAGGAGGAGGAGAGGAGGAAGGAGTGAGGAGGAGGAGGAGGAGGCGGAGGAAGGAGGAGGGAGGTGGAAGAGGAGGCGGAGGAGGAGGAGGCGGAGGAGGAGATAGGGGAGGAGGGAGGAGGAGGAGGAGGAGGAGGAGGAGGAGGAGGAGAAGGAGGTGGAGGAGGAGGAGAGGAGGAGGAAAGGGAGAGGAGGAGGAGGAGGGAGGAGGAGGAGGGGAGGAGGAGGAGGAGGAGGAGGAGGAGGAGGGAGGAGGGAGGAGGGAGGAGGAGGAGGAGGAGGAGGAGGAGGAGGAGGAGGAGGAGGAGGAGGAGGAGGAGGAGGAGGGGGAGGAGGAGAGAGCGCCGAGAATGGAGGAGGAGGAGGAAGAGGAGGAGGAAGAGGAGGAGGAGTGGGCAGAGCATCGACAGGGGAGGGAGCCCTACCTGAGCCCCTTGGGTGGAGCCCGACCAAGCGCATCTGGGCCTCTAGAGTAAGCTCCAGGCGCACCAACGCCTCGAGACTAACAGCAGAGGAACTTAGCCAGAAATCCAACGTCCAGCTCATCTGTGGCAGCAGACCGTTTCGTTCTCCCACTGTTTTTTCCGAAACACGGCGAGGCCGAAACCCGTGTGCCTCTAGATTGAACCAAAACGGCGACGGCCCAGGTTCTCGAGCATTTTGCGGCGAAGGATCTCGAATGGGGCCAGAAAACCAAAGAAAGAACGCTCACGGTCTCGGGCAAGAAACGACTTCATGTCAGGCCCTGCCCAGACCTCCAGGGTTCGCGACAAGACACGGACACGACGACCGCCTTTCCTCAATGTCGGCGTCTGGGAGCCGCTTGCGTGCCCCACGAACTGCAAAATTAGCTTAGCGAAGGACCCAACCATAAGCAGTTGTGAGCACCGTCGTTGTATGCACCGAGTTCGGAGGAGCTCCCTATAGGGCCACGACAACATTTATCCGGTGGGCGCATGCGAAAGCAGCCACTTGGGCCGTCGGTGGAATTCCCTTTGGGGCCACGAAACGCGTGAGAGGTGTGCCGAAATAGGTGCGGTGGGCGCATGCGAACGCAGCCACTGGGGCTTTCGGTGGAGCGCCTTATGGGGCCGCGAAACGTGCGATGGGTCTGCCGAAGTGGGTGACGCTGATGCATGCAAACGCTGCCACTGGAGGCTTCGGTGGAGCTCCCTATGGGGCCACGAAACGTGTGAGGGGTGAGCCGAAATGGGCGTGGGTGACGCATGCGGACGGTGGCACCGGGGCCTTCGTTGGAGCTCCCTATGGGGCCACGAAACGTGTGAAGGGTGTGATGAAATGGGTGCGGGTGATGCATGCGGGCGGTGGCACTGTGGCCTTCGGTGGAGCTCCCTATGAGGCCACGAAACGTGTGAGGAGTGTGCCGAAATGGGTGTGGGTGACGACGCATGCGGGCGGTGCCACTGAGGCCTTCGGTGGAGCTCCCTATGGGGCCACGAACCGTGTAAGGGGTGTGTCGAAATGGGTGTGGGTGACGCATGCGGGCGGCGGCACCGGGGCCTTCGGTGGAGCTCCCTATGGGGTCACAAAACGCGTGAGGGGTGTGCCGACATGGGTGGCGTTAACGCATGCAACCGCTGCCACTGGGGCCTTCGGTGGAGCTCCCTGTGTGGGTGACGCATGCGGGCGGTGGCACTGTGGCCTTCGGTGGAGCTCCCTATGAGGCCACGAACTGTGTGAGGGGTGTGCCGAAATGGGTGTGGGTGACGCATGCAACCGCTGCCACTGGAGCCTTCGGTGTAGCTCCCTATGGGGCCACGAACCGCATGAGGGGTGTGCTGGAATGGGTGGCGCTGACGCATGCAACCGTTGCCACTGGGGCTGCCGAAATGGGTGGCGTTGACGCATGCAACCGCTGCCGCTGGAGCCTTCGGTGGAGCTCCCTACTGGGGCCGCGAACCGTGTGAGGGGTGTACCGAAATGGGTGGCGTTGACGCGTGCAAGCTCCGACACTGGAGCTGTCGGTGGAGCTCTTCATTGGGCTACGAACCGCGTGAAGGGTGTGCCGACATGGTGGAGTTGACGCGTGCAACCGCTCCCACTGGAGCGTTCGGTGGAACTCTCTATTGGGTCACAAACCGTCTGAGGGGTGTGCCGAACTGGGTGGCGCTGACGCATGCAACCGCTGCCACTGGAGCCTTCGGTGGAGTTCCCTATGGGGCCACGAAACGTGTGAGGGGTGTGCCGACATGGGTGGCGTTGACGCGTGCAACCGCTCCCACTGGAACCTTTGGTGGAGCTCCCTATGGGGCCACGAACCGTGTGAGGGGGGAGTCGAAATGGGTGGCGTGTGGCGTTGACGCATGCAACCGCTGCCGCTGGAGCCTTCGGTGGAACTCCCTATTGGGCCACGAACCGTGTTAGGGGTGTGCCGACATGGGTGGCATTGACGCATGCAACCGCTGCCACTGGAGCCTTCGGTGGAGCTCTCCGTTGGGCCAAGAACTGTGTGAGGGTGTGCCGAGATGGGTGGCGCTGACGCATGCAAGCGCTCCCACTGGACCCTTCGGCGGAGCTCCCGATGGGGCCACGAACTGTGTCAGGGGTGTGCCGAAATGGGTGGCGTTGACGATACAACCTCCGACACTGGCGCCTTCGGTGGAGCTCCCTCTGAGGCCACGAACCGTGTGAGGGGCGTGTCACGACGCTGACGATGGCGATGTTGATGACGCCGATGATGGCGATGGTGATCACGATGATGACGATAGTGATAGCGATGACGGCACGCGGAGAGCAGAGGCAAGGATGGGATGAGGGAGGAGGGGGAGGAGGCGGGAACGCGGGGCGCTGCCTCTTCAAAACGAGGACCCAACACCACAGGATGGTTGGGAACAAAAAGTCCCTGAGGGAGGAGAGGGGGAAGGGAGAGGGAGGAGAGAGAGAGAGAGAGAAAGAAAGAAAGAGGGGGGAGGGGATAGAGAGAGAGAGGGAGGGGAGGGGAGGGGAGACGGAGGGGGGGGAGAGAGAGAGAGAGAGAGAGAGTCCAGCCGGACGAGGGGGAGTAGACAGGCACACGGGGGGAGCGCGAATGAGCTCGTGTAGCCGGCTTTCGGGCGCTTCCCGGCGGCGGAGGCGCCCGTGTGCCGAGGAAGGCGCCCGGCGGCGGGGCGGAAACCAGCTCTGCACGCGGCAGAGCTCGGACAACCCCCCTCCCGCAGCTCCCAGACCCGCTCCTCCACCAGCACCCCCCTTCCAGGAGCTGAGTCGGGAGGAGGAGGACGAGGACGAGGAGGCGGAGGAGGAGGAGGAGGTGAAGGAGGAGGAGGAGGAGGAGGAGGACGAGGACGAGGAGGAGGAGGAGGAGGAGGAGGAGGAGGAGGACGAGGACGAGGAGGAGGAGGAGGAGGAGGAGGAGGAGGAGGAGGAGGAGGGGTGGTGAATGTATGCTGGAGGTGGAGGAGGGATGGTGGATGGATGGCGGAGGGATGGTGGTGGGCTTGTGGAGGGGGCGTCCAAGGAGGGGGGCGTCGGCGTCCGAGGAGGGGGTGTTCGCACCTCGTGGCCCGAGGCACGCGCGCCGCCCAGGGAGGGGGGCCCGGGGGACGTGCGGCAAGAAGACGAGAGGGGGCCCTGAGATCTGGGAGATGCCCTCGCCATGATGTGCTTCCCCCCCGCCCCCCACACGACGACGACGACACCGCTGGCAACAGAGAGCCGCGGGCCCGAGCGTGTACGCGCTGCAGCTGCACATCTGAACCGCCTGCCCTATGGGGGACCGCTCCTCCGGGAGCTGGCACGCAGGCTCCTGTCCTGCTCCCCCCGTCATCGCCCCATCTTGGCCGCCCCCAACTCGGGCCGGGCGAAAGGGGGGGATAGCAAAGGGGGGTGGGGTTGAGAATCAGCTCACGCAGCTGATTTTCCCGGCGCCTCCCGGCGCCGGAGGCGGTCATGTATCGAGGAATGGGCCCCTCGGTGGGGCTGAAACCAGCTGCAATGCAGCAGATTTCGTAACCCCCCCTTTCCCTATCCCCCCCTTTCGTCCGGCCCGACCAGCTGGTGCGCCCCCTGGAAAGGAGCCCTGGGACACACAAATAAATACACACGAATAACAGGATTCCCCATATTTTCCCACATTTCCTGGGTTCTTGTCTTCCCCCCCACTTCCCATCTTTCCTCATCTCTTCTGGGCATCGACGATTCCTTGTGTCTGTGTGTGCTTCTTTCCCCCTCCTACAAGGGGATTTTCGACGAAAAATTAAAAATACCCCAAAAATACCCTTAAAATGCTGAAAAATAATCCAAAAATAGTCCCCGGACTATTTTTGAAAAGTATTTTTGAATATTCCTCCTGCAGAGGGACAGGCCCGACTTCATCGTAACTCCCCCTTTCCCTATCCCCCCCCCCTTTCGTCCGGCCCCACCAGCTGGTGCGCCCCCCGGAAGGGGCCCTGGGACACACAAAGAACAGGATTCCCCATATCTTCCCACCTCTTCTGGGTTCTTGTCTTCCCCCCCACTTCCCATATGTCCCCATCTTTTCTGGGGATCGACGATTCACTGTGTCTGTGTGTGTGTGTGTTTTTTTCCCCTCCTGACCGGTGCGCCCCCTGGAGAAGCAGGCAGCAAAGACGCGCGGCCCTGGGCCTCTCGCCCCGCTTCACGCGGCGGATGACCTGGCCGCCGGCGGGGCGGCCACGCGGCCACCGGCGCGGAGGGCCGGCGGGGGGGGAGAGCCGAGCGAGGCGCAGAGGGGCACCACCAGCACAGGGCAGCTTTTGAGACATGGGATGTTTTAAACATATGGGATTTTTAATGCATGATCAATGTTTGAATGGATGTATGCATGAGCTCATCGTTGCTTTTGATACTAAATCCCTGCGTGTGTAATGCACGATCCGCACTCGGAGCATGTATTAAAAACGGCACTGTACGATGCGCCCCTGTTTGAAGGGGCCCTGGGACACACAAACAAATGCACACACACACACACACAAATAGCAGGATTCCCCACCTTTTCCCATATATAATCTGGGATTTTGTCTTCCCCCCACTTCACATATGTTCCCATATTTTCTTGGGAATCGACGACTGTCGGCGAAATATAAACGAGAAAACAAAAAATGCCAAAGATTCCCAAAATGCTCCAAAGATGCCCAAAAATGCCCCCCAAAAAAGAGCCGAGCGAGGCGCAGAAGTAGGGAAACGAACTCTATACACCGACGCTTTTCCCGACCCTGCGCTGAAATTCGCACAGGAACGCGGAGATTGGTGTATACGGGATCCTGGTGTATACATGTTTCGCTGTTTCCCTTGGGCAACGGGGGAAGAGTATACACCACACACCCCGACGTCGTCCGCGACCCTCAAAAAGTCCTGGGATTGAGAAAGAGCCCACCACAGGTAATTTATACGTTCCAGTTTCCGAAGAAGGCACCACCAGTACGAGCGAGACGCAGAAGGGCAACACCAATATCAAGTCGGGCGTGTCCCCCTACAGGGGGATTTTCGGCGAAAAATGAAAGATACCCCCCCAAAAAAAATGCTCAAAAGATGCCCAAAAATAATCAAAAAATAGCCCCCAGACTATTTTTTGACTATTTTTGAATATCCCTCCTGTAGAGGGACAGGCCCGACTGCACACCAGTACGATGCGCCCCTGTCGGAGACACACGTCCGACCAGGACATATGGCACGAAATCTTGTGGCAAGTCGTCTCCCGAGCGGTAACAGCCGTGACAAAAGTTTCGTCAATTTGCTATGATGCAGATTTCTCACATCCCTCTCAAGATTCCTAACATGACATGATGCTGGGATCATTCGGCGGAGTATTTCCCGATCCCGGAGACGTTAATAACTCTGTTACCCCAGAACGGGATCGGAAACTACTCCGCGCCAAACCATATAAATTACCGAGCGGGATGCGATTGCGCGCGGAGTAGTTTTAGCAGAACTACTCCGAACTACTCCGCACGAGCGCGTCATTCCAAAAGGCAAATTGAAAGAAACTCTCGTCACGGCGATGTATTACCAAAAAGCGCCCGCCACGGAGCTTGTGCTACGAGAGTGTCAGGCGTCGGGGTCGCCCTTCCCTGGCCGACGCACACAGCATGTAAGTATGCACGTATGGTTGGGCGGTGCCGACCGAAGGCCGGGGCGGCGCTCCGAGCACGGCTCCGCGGGACGCGACGCGCCGTGGAGAAGCGCTGCGGGGGCTCATTGGGAGACTTCCGCCACTCGCCCCGAGGAGGCGAGGAGCGAGATCTCTGGACCCGCCCGTGCCGAGCACCACAAAAAGAAAGGAAAGGATCACCGACTTCAGCGGTCCAGCGCGCTCGTGGAGTGTCAATACGAAGAAGCGGCGACGAGGGTTCTGTTCTTCCCATCGTACTTAAGATCCAAAAAAAATCGAGCACCCATAGAGGTATCGAAACAGTGCCTACCCGACACGCTAGCGAAGTGTCGAACGAGTATCGCCTCCCAGGGCCCGATACGTGAAAACCCTCCAGTTTCGTTACTTTCTTGGCGCTCGAAATTCGTTCTGGTGAACCAAGGCTGAATTAGGTTGAAACATCATAAGACGAGGGTAGCATTCCCAGCGAAGCTCGGGGGGCGTCCTGCCAGGAGCCCGGGCGGCAGCGGGCATGATACCGTCGGCGGCATCAGCGGCGGCGGCCCACCGGCGATCAGATCAAGAACGTCAGCCGACGCAACCTCCCTCTCGTAACTCGTCGGATCTGTGAAACTGGCCGAGGTGCAAGATGACAAGCAGCCAGCCTCCGCGCAGACTCCATGCGGGAGCAAACAATGGCATAAGCACGAAAACTCGGAGGCCCGCGCGGATCTCTCGGATCGCTGCTGGGGCCCTCTGGCGGCGAATCCCGTGCCGCCCCCTGGCGCGCTCCGCGCGCGAGGGAGGGGGGGGTCCGGCGCCGATCCGAGCAATCCGCGCGGACCTCCGAGCCTTTCTGTTTGTGCCATTGCTGGTTTCCCTGGCAGGCTCCAATCCATGCGACCCATGGAAGCAGGACACGTGCCATAAGCCCGCCAGCCCCATGGGGGGCGGAAGGCCGCGGATCGTAATGTCGGACTGCTGACTTGCTGTCTTTGTGCTGTCCTCTGCTCTTTGTCTCTCGTCTCCCCAGTCCTGTCTCCGACTTACTGCCTACTTGAGTCGGCGGCGAGCGAGGGGGGAAATGAGAAGGAGAAGGCCTTCTCAGAAGGCTCGGAAGTCCCCCGGCCTTCTGAGAAGTTGTTCTAAGCCTTCCCCGCAGAGACAGAAAGCTTCTCAGAAGACGCGAGGGCTTCTGAGAAGACCAGCCGCCTTCTGAGATGGCCTTCTCCTTCTCAGTTGCCCCGCTCGCTCGCCGCCGACAGGAGTCCCAGGAAGGCCCCGTGACGCCCCCGAGAGGGCAACCGGCACTTTAGAACCAGAGTGCTCTCTGTGTGCTTTTGCCTGCATATTTTGCTTCTCGGGTCGGGCGAAAGGGGGGGATAGCGAAGGGGGGGTTTGAGAATCAGCTCACGTAGCTGATTTTCCCGGCGCCTCCCGGCGCCGGAGGCGGTCATGTATCGAGGAATGGGCCCCTGGTTGAGGCCGAAACCAGCTGCATGCAGCAAATTTCGTAACCCCCCCTTCCCCAATCCCCCCCTTTCGCCCAGCCCGAGCTTCCACGATGTCAGTTCACTGCAAGGCGGCCCCCCAAGCCCGCGAGATCGCCCACGAGGGCATCAAGGTGGCCCGAACAGGCCCCAAGGTGCCGCCCGAATCGCCCAGGACGGCTCAGCAAAGGCCCTGGATGGCCCCAGGATGCCCTCAAGATGGGCCCAGAGGCCTCAAGAAAGCCACAATTTGGCACGAAGTTGGCCCCACAGGTCCCAAAATGCCCCCGAGAGATCACAACATGTTCCCTAACCTGCTCCTGCATACAGTCGGACCTGGGCCGGAAGAACATCCCTCAAAAACATGAGAACCTCCGCCGGCCCAAACTGAGGAACATCCAAGGGTACCCTCCCCAGAATGCACAATGACATCCAACCAACACTCAGAAAATTAGGGCACGCTCCCCGAACAGACCTCGATCTTATGCCTCGGTCCGACTGTACACGAGCAAGCTCGAACGCATGACCAAATGATGCCAACGCGCGCAACCCGAACTGGAGGCTCTAACATTTCCCGATGTGGGAGCTACGCTGCGCAACCCGTGTAAGTTGCAATGGAGTTGCACCAGCCACGGTGCACCAACCATGGGACACCAGCCAGCCGCAGCGCACCAGCCCTGGATCACCGAACCCGAACGGCCATAGAGCACCAGGCACAGGGTACCCAGCACATGGCACCAACCGCGGGGCACCCACAACAGGACACCAATCACAGGGCACCAACCATGGGGCACCAACCAGAAGGCACCAACTACGGGGCACCGACCACCGGGAAACAAACATCGAGCACCAACCATGGGGCACCATCCCATCCGTAGGACACCAAACAGTGGGCACCGACCATGGTGCACCAACCATGGACCACCGAGCGCGAACGACCACAGAGCAAGCGTGCGGCACCGGTCAAAAGCACCGGGAGAAAGCAGCCCTAACGCACCGACTGGGAGTGGCCGACTGCGACACACTGAGCAGGCACAGTGCACCAGCCGGAGAGCACCGAGCGGGAACGGCTGTGGAGCACCGAGCGGGAGCAGCCGATTGCGACGACTTGGGCCAATTTTTCAGCGAGCAGGCAACACTCCATGCATGTAAACAGGATTTGGGAAATGATGAGCATAAAAAGGAAGCCCAGACGTGTACTACTCATCGGAACCAAGTGTGGCAAACGAGAGATCAACGAAAGAGCTCGCAACCATTGCAGTGGAGCGTGGAGAACTAATTCCAGCCATACGCACGTGTTCCCACAGCTAGTCAAGAAGCATCCCACACAACGCGGCCACAACCATCGGGTTCGACACCGCTTCCCCAAACGCGACGGATCAAGCGGCTCCTCGTCCCTCCCTCCACCCAACTTGCCCAACGTGACCCCGGTGGGGTCGTCGTCCTCGAAGGGCACCTCCCTGCAGATGACCTCCGGCCGGCTCCTGCTCCTCCGCCTCCGCCCCCCCCCATTCCCCCCTCCTGCCCCCCGAGGCCCCGCCCTGCCCTCTGTTGAGCTGGGGGGGCTACGGGCCAGCGAGTCTACACCGATGGCTCGGCGCCAGCCCCGAACTGTGCAGGTGTGGATGGGGCGTGGCGGAGTTGGCCCCGTTGTGGCCTTCTCTGGAGGGACCTGTATGGGTCCTTGCCTGAGCGCCAGTCGGTTCCCCGCGCTGAGCGCTGTGCGCGTGTTGTGGCGGCCAAGGCAGCCCCCTGGCTCAGTAGTTACGCTTTCACGTGGCCTTCACCAAAGAAAGAGTTAGCTGGGATCTCGCCCGCTCATGTGGGCTCAAGACCACCGTGGGCTCGAAGATGCGCTAGATGACTCTTCCCAGGTTGTCCTGGACTTGCTGGGCAACCTACGGGCTGACTTTTTCCCAACCATCCTGTGGTGTTCGGCTCTTGATTTGAAACGATAGCCCCCGCTTCTCCTTCTCCTCTTCTCCTCCTACTCCCCCTCCATCCCCCTCCAATTACCCTCTCTCACTTTGGCACACCCCTCATACGTTTCGTGACCCCGTAGGGGGCTCGACCGAAGCGCCCATTGGCTGAGCTCGCATGCCGCCATCCCCCTCACTTCGGCACACCTCTCGCACGTTTCGTGGCCCCAAAGGGAGCTCGACCGAAGGCGCCAGTGGCTGCGTTCGCATGCCGCCCCCCTCATTTTGGCACGCCCCTCAAACGCTTCGTGGCCCCATAGGGAGCTACACCTAAGGACTCAGTGGGGCTGCGTTCGCATGCCGCCACCCCCCTCACCTTGGCACACCCCTCACGCGTGTCGTGGCCCCATGGGGAGCTCCACCTAAGGTCCCCTGGCTGCGTTTCGCCTGCGCGGCATGCGAACGCAGCACTGGCGCCTTCGGTGGAGCTCCCTATGGGGCCACGAAACGCGTGAGGGGTGTGCCAAGGTGAGGAGAGTGGCGACATACGAACTCAACCAAGTGGGCCTTCGGTGGATCTCCCTACGGGGCCACGAAACGTGTGAGGGGTGCGCCAAGGTGAGGGGGGGTGACGGGAGGAGGGAGCGGGAGGAGGAGGAGGAGGAGGAGAAGGAGAAGGAGACGCGGGGACTGTCTCTTCAAAACGAAGACCCAACACCAGAGGATGGTTGGGAACAAGTTGCGTAAGGTGCTGTTGATGCCGAGGCTGCTCATATGAATACGCTAACCACCTGAATTGGGATGCTTTGGCTCGTGCTGCGCAAACCGTTGATGCGGAGGCAGAGTGCCTCATAAGCCTGCTGGCGCCTCAGCGCCCAGCTGGCAAGAGTTTCACGGATTGAGGGCGGCTCCTTTTCAAAATGCATTCCCTCTTCCCTCTTCGGGGAGGGGAATTCCTTATGGACACCCACCCCCACCCCCACCCGACCGGCGACAAACCCGGGCCAATGACAACCCCCGCCCCGCCGTCCCTGTCAAAAACAAATGCAAAATACACCTTGCGGAAAATATGGACCGTGCGCGAGCGCCCCATGAGCACTTCGGATTGGTTTGACAAGGACGGCGGGGGTGCGCTCATATTTTCCGCTCGGTTCAGGCCACAACCCCTGTCAAGACACAATGCCCAATACACTGGGCACCCACATCTGGACCGTACGCGGGCGCCTCCTGATCATTCTGCAGATGTGTTGTTTCATAAGGACGGCGGAGATGCCCTCAGACTGTCAGCAGGCCCACAGTCCCTGACAAAACACAGCGAAAAATACACTCTGCGGCAAAATATGGGCCGTGCGCGGGCACGCCATGATCACTCCGCATTGGCTTCTGACAGGGACGGCGGCGGTGCCCTCATACAGTCGAGGCGTTGACCTAAGGAACCCTAAATAAGGAACGAGGCCCCTTTTTCCATAAGTTAAACTTCGATTTCCGATCGAAAACATAAGGAAAACCTGAGGCAAGCTGCGAAACAACTAAGGAACACCGAGCCACTCCCCAACGAAAACGGTTCCTTCCTCAGTGCCCCGACTGTATTGTCCGTTCTGAGCAGACCCACACTCCCTGTCAACACACAATGCCAAGCACACTGTGTCGCAACCTCTGGTCATGCGCGAGCCCCCTGCGATCATTTTTCATCGGTTCCTGACAGGGAGCGGCGGGGGGGGCCCTCATATTGGCTGCTCTGTGCAAGCAAGCTCACCATTCCTGGCCAAAAAGCAATACGATGTGCACTTTGCATGATATGTAAATAGGTGTTGGTGCTTCAGGTTCCACCCTTCTCACTAAATGATCGGCGCTGCGCTTGCGAAGGTGCTCCGACTCTTGACTCATTGGGATCGGAGCCACAGGCTCGGATGCTGCCTATGTGTTGGGACGGCGGGTGAGTGAGAGACATGGCTTGCGGCTTGGGGTAGCTTGACCCCTCCCCCTACCCCCTACCCCTAGGTCTGGGCTAAGACTCCAAGATGGCTCAAAATAGCGCAAGATCGCTCAAGATGGTTTCCAACATACTCCAAGAGGCTCCAAGACCGCTCCGAGACGGGCCCAAGTGGCTTCGGAGCCTCTCAGGAACTCCTCCACCATGCCAAAAGCCTTCCAAAGCCTAAAGAAGATCAATGAGTTGTGCACTCTCGCCTGCTCGCTTCCGATAGCCTTCCGAGGCTTCAAGATGTCTCCAAGCGGGCCGAAGAGAGACACAAGAGGGGCCCAAGAGACTTCAAGACGGCCCCAAGAGCACTCAAGATCGCCGCACGCAAGATCGCCCCAAGAGCGCCCCAAGAGGGCTCCAAGTGGCGAGTTCTGAGATCTCCAGAGAGGCGGTGCTAACTCAGGCCCCCGTCTGCTTTGATCGATGTCCTCCAAGCTGGTCCGAAGAAGGCCTCCGAGCTCCCAAGAGGGTCCCAAGAAGGCCCAGAGAGAGAGGCTCAAACGCTCCCAAAATAGTTGCCATGGGACCCCAAGAGCACCCAAGACACTCCAAGATACCCCCCAAGAGCCAGCAAGAGGCCCTCAAGACGACCCAAGATGCCTCTAATATGCCCTCAAGAGACACCCCCAGAGACCCAAAGAAGCATCCCAGGGGCCTCTGGCCCACACGGGCCCCCGACAATCTCCAACTGATGCCACGCTCTTCCTCTGTTCGGGGCAGCTCCTCTGGCCATCGTGTCTGGATGGGGTGGTGGGGATACGCAAGGCGCAAAGGATTGCAATGTGTCCTCCTCCTCTTCTTATTATTAGTATTATTCGTGGTATGATTATTATTAGTATGTTCTTATGATTCGTCTTAGCATGTTTCTTATTCGTCTCGTTATACATATTCTTAGGTTTATTATTAGATCAGCCAGCGTTGACCCCAAATAGATTAGATGACTCCAATCAAGGAATCAGAAGAGTCGGGCATGCTTGGGATCCGCAACTCAGCAAGCAAGCAAGCGTGCAAGCAAGCAAGCAAGCAAGCAAGCGTGCAAGCAGGCGCGCAAGTAAGCAAGCAAGCGTGCAAGCAAGCCTGCAAGCAAGCAAGAAACCAAGCAAGCAAGCAAGCAAGCATGCAAGCGCAAGCAAGCAAGCAAGCATACATAATGGGGGGTGCCATTGGAAAAAGGGGGGAGGGGGGGGTGCCATTCGAAATAAGGGAAGGGGTCCATTGGAAAAAGGGGGGGTCCTAAAGACCAACCACTTATGATGAGCTAGGACTCCTATAGGGCAAGCCTATTTGGAGAATTATTACATACTGTTAGTCTTATTATATTACTATTAGTATTCCTTCTCCTCCTCCTGCTCCTCCTGCTCCTCCTCCTCCTCCTCCTCCTCCTCCTCCTCCTCCTCCTCCTCCTCCTCCTCCTCCTCCTCCTCCCCCTCCTCCTCCCCTATGTTTGACGAGTCTTCGCCGGCGCATCTACAGTGCTGCGCGGCGGAGGCCCGCTGCGCGTTGCAGGAGGGCGCTGGCACGCTTGGCACATCGTGCACCAAGCCATCGTCATCGTCCGACGCCGATGCCGCCTCCTGCCTCGGACCTCCAGTGGGCCGAGGGCTCGTTGGCATCAGTCGGTGCTTCGCTGCAGGCAGAGACGGCCACCCCAAGCGGCCACCCCCCTGCCCTCCCAGGAGGCCGCCCCACTGGGCGACTCGTCCTTCCCCCCCGCGACCACGCTGGGGCCCCACGCCGACGGGCGCGGGCCCCGCACTGCGCCCGCCGCCGGGGAGGCAGCCGCAACCTCTGGGCTGCCGCTCGATCGGGCATCTCCCCCTACAAGCGGATTTGGGGGAAAACAAGAAAGGTCAGAATAGATTCAATAACGTTCGAAAAATCATCGAAAAATCGTCCCCTGACTATGTTTGGCTATTCTTGAGCATCCCTCCTGTAGAGCTGTGGATGCCATGACAATGGACACCCTAGCAGTCCTATCATTGAACTCAAAATGTGTTTAAAATGCCGGAGAACTGTGGGAAACGTGCTTTGAACATGTTTCTACATGTTCGGAACATGTTTAACACATGTTCTGGACATCTGGAAATTATTTGGCAGCATGCTTCCTCTCCAGTAGTCGACTTCCACGACTGTCGAGGCACACGCCCGAATCGGCGCGGGGCGGCGTGGCATCCTGGCCGCCCGAGGTGGGCAGTGGGCGGGGCCGAGGGCTCCCGCCGCTGCTCCGTCCACGGCGCCGAGCCTGCAGGCGGCGCGCCCAGGGACCGCAGAGGCCACGCGAAGGGAGAGGAGGAGGAGGAGGAGGAGGAGGAGGAGGAGGAGGAGGAGGAACAAAACAGAACAAGAGGAGGAGGAGGAAGAGGAGGAGGAGGAAGCAGGGGGGAGAATGAGAAGGGGCGGGCCTTCTCGGAAGGCCCGGGCTCGGAAGTCCCCCCATGTCTTCCGGGAAAGGTTTTCCGAGGCCTCCCCGGAGACGAAAACAGACTCCTCAGAAGGCGCGAGGGCTTTTCTGAGAAGTCCCACCGCCTTCTGAGAAGCCCCTCTCCTTCTTACTTCCCCCCCTCGCTCGCCGCCGAAAGTGACAGGGCCTCAGTTCGAGGAGGAGCTCGCGCGCGCCCGCCCGCACGCGCGCGGGGCGGCGCGCCAAAGGGGGGGAGGGGGGCAGCGCGAGCGGGGCGGCCTCTCTTGAGGAGGCGGGGGGGGAGGGGCTCCCGGGAGGGGCCGGAGGCCTCCCACAGGGCCTGTGGATGCCACGACAATGGACACCCTAACAGTCCTATCATTGAACTCAAAATGTGTTTAAAATGTAAGGAAATGTCCAAAACATGTTTAAAACATGTCTTTTACATGTTTAAAACATGTTTAACACATGTTCTAGACATCTGGAAATTATTTGGCAGCATGCTTCCTCTCCATGGATCGTCCTCCACAGCTCAGGGTCTCGTGGAGCAGGCGGGAGGGCCCCTGAGACGCAGGCTGCCTTCTCGCTGCCCCCCTCGCCCTGCCCTCGACCGAACTCCGCTCGGAAGCGGTCACCGGACGCCTCCCGCGGTCCGTTCTGGCTAGTTCTGCAAGCCCCAGGAGCGCCCCAGAATCCTCAGAAAGACGACGACGACGACGACGACGACGACGCGTCCAGCCGTGGCGACGAGAACGTCAAGGAACGCCCGAAAACTTCCAGAACAAAAAAAAGAATAACGAGGGGCGCGCCTCGAACATGGTCATCGAGAAGCTGTACACGTCGACCTTCTCGTTGTACGAAACCGCCCCGACGCCGACGACCTGCGGGGATCACGCGCAGCTCGTCCACCTCGTCCTCCTCCTCCTTCTCCTCATCCTCCTCCTCCTCCTCCAGCTCCTCCTTCTCCTCCTCACCCTCCTCCAACGTCTCCCCCTCCTCCTCCTCCTCCTCCTCCTCCTCCTCATCATCATCATCGTCATCGTCATCGTCATCGTCATCATCATCATCATCATCATCATCATCATCGTCATCATCATCATCATCATCATCATCATCATCATCATCATCATCATCATCATCATAATCATCATCGTGATCATCGTCATCATCATCAGTATCAGCATCATCATCATCATCATCATCATCATTAGCATCAGCATCATCATCAGCAGCGTTATCATCAGCATCATCAGCATCATCATCACCACAACCACCATCATCATCATAATCATCAACATCATCATCATCATCAGCATCATCAGCTTCTTCTTCATCCACATAATCTTCATCATCATCCTTATCATCTTCTTCTTCATCATCAGCATCATCATCATTATCGTAGTCGTCACCGTCGTCCTCTTCCTTCTCCTCCTCTTCCTCCTCCTCATCATCCTCATCATCACCACCACCACAATCATCAGTATCGACAGGATCATCCAGGTCACCGACATTATCACTATCATCATCAGCATCATCAGAAGCACCATCATCATCATCATTGTCATCATCATCAGAATCATCACCACCATCACCACCATCATCATCGTTATCACCATCGTCATCATCAGCATCATCATCAGTATCGTCATCGTCGTCAGCATCAGCATCAACAGCATCAACATAATAATCGTCAGTATCATCAGCAGCATCATCATCAGCATCATCATCATCATCAACAGCATCATCAGCAGCATCATCATCAGCATTATCATCAGCATCATCGCATCATCAGCATCAGCATCATCATCAACAGCATCATCAGCACCATCATGACCACCATCATCATCATCATCATCATCAGCATCATCAACATCTTCTTCTTCCGCATAATCATCATCCTTATCATCTTCTTCCTTTTCATAATCATCATCAGCATCAACATCATCATTATCGTCGTCGTTACCGTCATCCTCTTCCTTCTCCTCCTCTTCCTCCTCCTCCTCATCATCACCACCACCACCACCATCGTCATCATGATCATGAGTATCAACAGGATCATCCAGGTCACCACCGTCATCACCACCATCATCAGAGCACCATCATCACACCATTAGCATCATCATCAGCATCATCACCACCACCATCACCATCATCATCAACATCATCATCAATATCACCGTCATCATCATCAGCATCATCGTCATCATCAGCAGCATCGTATACAGCATCATCATCAGCAGCATCATCCTCACCAACATCATCATCAGCATCAACATATCATCGTCATCAGCATGATGATCATCATCAGCAGCATCATCATCAGCATCAGCAGCAGCATCATCATCAGCAGCATTATCATTATCACCACCACCATCATCATCATCATCCCGGCATCATCATCATCAGCACCTTCTTCTGCATGATCATTATCATCCTTATCTTCTTCTTCATCACCATCAGCGTCAGCATCATCATCATCATCAGTATCGTCGTCGTCACCGTCGTCATCTTCCTTCTCCTCCTCTTCCTCCTCCTCCTCCTCCTCC